CCCAGCGCGGCAGGGGAGGGCGCGGGGGGGAGGGCGGCCGGAGCCCCAGGGGGAGGGTGGTGAGCCCGCTCTTCCCCCGGCGGCCAGAGCGCAGGGGGTAGGGCCGCGAGAGCGCCGGGGGGAGGGCGGCGAGCCCGGCCGTGGCCCCGCTCTCCCTGGGGGCCGGAGCGCCGCGCCGCCCCCCTCCAGGTGCCGCCCCAAGCACCAGCTTGGTGGGCTGGTGCCTGGAGCCGGCCCTGTCATTGGACCAAGGTCTGTAGGTTAGACAAGTTTTCAAGCACCACAGAGCCCTTCAGGTCTGGAAAAAGAAAGCTCTGTGTCAGGTTTCAGAGTGGTAGCTGCCTTAGTCTGTATCAGCAAAAAGAACGAGGAGTACTTGTGGCCCCTTAGGGTACGTCTACACCCGCCGATCTATCGGGGATCGATTTATCGCATCTAGTGTAGATGTGATAAAATCTATCCCCGATCGCTTTGCCGTCGACTCCGGAACTCCACCACGGCGAGAGACGGAAGCGGAGTCGACAGGGGAACGGCAGTGGTCAACTCACCGCCGTCCTCACAGCCAGGTAAATTGACCTACGATACGCCGACTTCAGCTTAGAGACTAACAAATTTATTTGAGCATAAGCTTTCGTGGGCTAAAACCCACTTCATCGGATGCATGCAGTGGAAAATATAGTAGAAAGATATATATATATATACACAGAGGACACGAAAAAATGGGTGTTGCCATACCAACTGTAACGAGAGTAATCAATTAAGGTGGGCTATTATCAGCAGGAGAAAAAAAACTTTTGTAGTGATAATCAGGATGGCCCATTTCCAACAGTTGACAAGAAGGTGTGAGTAATAGTAGGGGGGGGGAAATTGGCATGGGGAAATAGTTTTTACTTTGTGTAATGACCCATCCACTCCCAGTCTTTATTCAAGACTAATTTAATGGTGTCCAGTTTGGAAATTAATTCCAATTCTGCAGTTTCTTGTTGGAGTCTGTTTTTGAAGTTTTTGTTGTTGGAGTATTGTGACTTTGAGGTCTGTAATTGAGTGACCAGGGAGGTTGAAATGTTCTCCGACTGGTTTTTGAATGTTATAATTCTTGATGTCTGATTTGTGTCCATTTATTCTTTTGCGTAGAGACTCTCCAGTTTGGCCAATGTATATGGCAGAGGGGCATTGCTGGCATTGTGTGGCTCCAAAGCTTGTGTCTCTTACCAACAGAAGTTAGTCAAATAAAATATATTACTTCACCCATCTTGTCTCTCTAATATTCTGGGATCAACAGGGCTACAACTACACTGCATATGAGATTTGTAACTCTGCTACTGTCTTCCTGCTAACAGACTTAGTCCTTTGGCTCAAGTAGTAGACAGTGATTCTTCGAAATTTTTTGGACATCCCACCAGTAGTCCCTGCAGTTAACCTGACTGATCACCTAAATAAGCCCCAAATTTCCAGAGGTGCTGATGTGATGTCCATGTATATGGAAAGATTTATACATTTACATGTGGAGGCCCTTTGGTTTTGTTCATCTTCAAAGTTCTCTATAGATCGGGGAGTTGGGCAGAAGGACAAAGCTGAGGTTGGCCATGGGAGGCAGAACAGGAGAGGGGAAGAGGGAACAGTCTGCATCCTCATGGTGCCCTGATTAGGAGAACCAAGAGGATTCAGTGAGGACTATTAGCACTCATTCTACTGCTTACCTGAAGCAGTGAGTGGAGCTCCTGACTCTATTGCCATCCTTTAATGGATGGAATAGTATGTCGGCTCAAGCGTGTGTGCTCTTGTAAACTGTAGCTGCTACAGCCTAAAGAGGAAATAAGCCCTACTACTCTACTGCACATATGTGAATTTTTCATGGGTTACTACCAGTTATATAATAAAACGTATAGTTCTCATTCTGATCGCCCAGACACTGGTTTTACCCAAGTGTGACTTCACTGATTTCAATGGAATTACTACTGATTTCCTCCAGTGTAATTGAGAGATAAATCAGGCCTCAAATTATTTGTTTTCAACATATATAAATATTAGGTGTAATTTTATCATCCTTAGACATTAGCTAGTCCTTGAGGATGAACTGCCTACATCAATGTGCAGGCACAAAACCATGTGTTCCTGGCAGATCACAACTCACATATTGTTCCTGTTTGATAATATAACATTAATTGTATAAAAATGGTCACATTTTTAGGTTTGATACAAGTGGTTTTAGTTAAAAATATTTGTCCTTTGTTATTTCAATTTTAATGTAGATAATCAAATTTATAAAATTAAATTAGATATGTAAGAACATAATGGCTAGAATACTTAGCGGCTTCTTATTAGATACTAAGTGGTCTGCTAAAAGAATTATCAGTTTTTTTAAAGAATTTGCATTTCTCAAGACAAAGTGACAGTCATCTTGTTTAGATTATTTTCATAGTTTTTCGGTAAGGCATCAGACATTTAAAATGGACTAAAGTCAGTTAAGTGAATACATGTTATAGAAATAAAGACTTTAAATATATTTTTTGCTCTGTATCCAAATAAAGGTGAAAAAATCTGTTAGTAATCTTCCTGGACACTAAAGATTACGGAGTTGATGTAGCAAAGCATAAATATGTTTAAAATATATGCTGTAAATAAATAAGAATATGAAGCCTCTCACCTGTAGGTCACCTGTTTGCAACCAATTCTTTTTTCCATCTGATGACTTTTTGGTCACCTATGAGATGTGAGTCAGTCTCAGTTCAGTTCAGAGTGACTGCTGCCCACATCATAAAAAGAGAGGTCATTACACAATTGGCACAATTTAGTGCCCTTGATGGCAGTCCTAGCAGAAATGGACCTGGAGACTAAACTGTGCTTGTAATCCCTACAGACAGTCCTTCCAGTTCAGAATGGAGGGATACTGATGGAGCAGCATGGGGAAGCTTGCACTGCCAATGTCAGCACTGCACCTTCATTGTGGGTGAATAGAAGACTTTGGTTGCCAGGGCTGTCAAACGAACATCTTTCATGAGCACTAAATGAACTGTGTGCTTGTTTTAATGTAAACACCTTTTCACATCTGCAATAATTAATTATATTGGGTCAGATCCTCAGCTGGTGTAAATCCTTTAAGACAATGGAGTAACTACACCAGCTGAGGATCTGACCCATTATCTCAATGATATAATTAAAATAACTATTTCAGAGAATAATCTAATAAAATGTTAACTATGATCTTGCTATTGCTCCATCATATTATTGATACCTGTATTCCTTCTAAAGGTTCCCTATCTCCCTATATGAATCATAAATATGGAAAGGCATCGCCACTAGAGCACAGTTGCCATCAATATTTTTATACTTAAATATTCTGTACAGTAATCATTTTGGTATATCCATATGATTGAAGAAAAAGATTTCTTTTTTCATGATGAAGGCCTGAGTCCAGCTGAACTTCCATTACTTTCCAAACCTTCTCTTTCTAGGAGTCACCCTAGCTGCTGCTGCAGTATGTTTTTTTTAAATGTATGGAATGGGGTAGTGAGGGAGGGGTTCAAAGACAAGTGGCCTCATCCAAGGTTGACAATAATGTTTCTCTACTATGGGACAGTTCCTAAAAATTACTTTGGGTTTGCAATACCCACTGAAATCAATGGAGGTTGTAGATGCTCAGCAGCTCAGGATTAGGTCCTAATGGCCTGATCTAAAGTCCATTAAAATCAATGGAAAGACTCCCATTGACTTCATTGGGTGGTGGATCAGTTCCTCAGTGATTAAGTTAAACAATGTTATAGCTAAGGCTACAATTTAGTCACTGGTATTTTTAGTAAAAGTCATGGACAGGTCAGGGGCAATAACCAAAAAGTCATGGGCTGGTGACCTGTCCATGATTTTTACTAAAA